AAAAGGTCTTGGCCCATTGATTAATGTTTCATCTTAATGGGATCTTGCCATATAATTTATATATGAATATATTATGGTTTTGATTTCAGATCCAAACTCAAAAACAACTTTGTATTTATTTATTTATTTGGTCGAAAATGGTATTTTAGTTATATTTTTATTGACGTCATCATCCATTTGCATGTGTAAATTAAATTTTATTATTTTGCATATATAATTAAAAAAATATATATAATATAATAATAACAAGCAAATTTATCTCAGAAATAGTTTTTAGAGATCGATCATAGGAGTGTATTTGTTAACAAGAATTTTTTTTTTTTAATAAATCTGTAATTAATTACATAGAAAGAAAAAAATTAATAATATTAATTAATTTAATTAATTTGGTGAAATGAATAAAAAAATGAGGAAGGGCATTAAAAAAAGGGGTAAGGGGATTGCAGTTTAGGGCAAATTTCCTACAGCAGAGCTGATAATAATTAGCAACCCACAACTTCACGCTTGCTTCATATCTGGAAAACATGTCATTTTCTTCGCCAGCTCTCCTTTTCCTCTCTCTCTCTCTCTCTCTCTCTCTCTCTCTCTCTCTCTCTCTCTCTCTCTCTCTCTCTCTCTCTCTCTCTCTCTCTCTCTCTCTCTCTCTCTCTCTCTCTCTCTCTCTCTCTCTCTCTCTCTCTCTCTCTCTCTCTCTCTCTCTCTCTCTCTCTCTCTCTCTCTCTCTCTCTCTCTCTCACACACACACACACACACACACACACACAGACACACAGTCACAGAAAATAGATACACACACGTATATGCTAACCTATGAGCACGCAGCTACAGGCATATATACATACAAACAAAGAAAGGAGCTATATATATATTTATATATTATATGATTAATTAAAGATTGAAGAGGGAGGCTGAGAGTTAAAGAAGGGCAAAGGTGGATTGTTTGGAATTCGTGTAAGAAGCTTAGCTTTGGGGGAAATTAAATAATAAATAAAGAATTCCTTCTCTCGCCGGAAAATAGCAATATTTTCCGAAGAAGCCAGGTTTGTGTGTCATTTTACACAGATGACGATCATATATCTTACCGGAAATATATCAATACTTACACACATACATATATACATAAATATGCTATCTTCCCTTTACATCATGTTTATTTATTTCTCTCCATGCATTTGGGCACAGTTCCATATGTTTTCTTCAGCTAATTAAATTAGTGTGTGTGTGTGTTTGTGTGTGTGTGTTTGTGTGAGTCTTGGAGTGGATGATATAGATCTGCTCCTACACTTCACAAAAACAATATTTTCTTGCATTAATTATTAGTCCCTTGTTTAATTTCCCCCTTTTATTTCATGTTTTTCTCTCTCTTGCAAGAGTCAAATCCTGGGAAGAAACCCTTGAAAGTTCTTACATGTTCAAGAAAATCCATAAACCTACCAGCTTGATGGGGTTTCTTGCATCTTTTTGTGTTCTTGTTTACCACTTTTTCAGCTTCAAAGATCCAAAGTTAGAGTCTTTTCTCCAATTTTATTTTTCAAAATTAGTCTTCTTTCCAGTAATCAAATTAAAACACAGAAATCTAACAACTTTCTAAAGAGAATTTTACAAAAGTTTGAATCTTTTAGGTTAGTCTTGTACAAGTTTTTGTCTTTCCAGTGATTAAGGAAAAATGAAAAAAATTAATCTTGCATATGCTAAAGAGTTACAATCTCTTTGATTAAAAGATCACAAGATCTAGTAAAAATCAGTTTTATAAATACTTCCAAAAAAATTTGATTTTTTTTCCGATGATTAGGGTTCCGAAATGGGAAGGGGAAAGATCGAAATCAAGAGGATCGAAAACAACACGAATCGACAGGTTACATTCTGCAAGCGAAGAAATGGGCTGTTGAAGAAAGCTTACGAACTCTCGGTTCTTTGCGATGCAGAAGTTGCACTCATCGTTTTCTCCAGCCGTGGCCGTGTCTACGAGTATGCCAACAATAAGTAAGCCAATTTAATCCCACTTCTTGAATTTTAATTTAATTCCTAATTTCTAATTGATAGATCTCAAATTAGTTTATTTATGAATTAAACATTCCATGCATCATCTTGTTTAGTGTTTTTGTTAAACTTAATGCTGTTGTCAAGTATAACTGTCATCATATTTTTCTGCAATAAAAAGATCATATTTTTCTGCAATAAAAAGATCATATTTTTATGCAATAAAAAGATCATATTTTTATGCAATAAAAAGAACCATTCTTGGAGATTATTATATATCTATATAATAAAAAAAATAAAATAAAAATTATAATGGGATTCATCATATATACAGCATAGAAAAGCATATGCTGCCAAATCACAGACATCATAATTCGAAAGAAATTATTGAAAATATCAGCATATCTGAATCTTTCACAAATATGTTGTTTCAAAGTTGCAGTTCACTTTGATGTTTAGGTTTCCAATAGTTTCCAATTGCAGCATTAATTAAAAAGCTCACCATTTTTTTTGTTCATTTGTTTTTCAAACTGAAAGTCTGTCCGAGCATTCATTCATATGTACTGTATTGTCTCAGGTTTTTTGTCTCTCCACTTTTTTGATGTGTTAGAATACAAACAAGGACAAAAAAATTATTTCTTTCACAAAGAAAGGAGAGAGAACTAGAGTTCATCATAGTTATTTCTAGGGTTTTATGATCTTTTCATAGTGTAATATAGAATAATAGTACTAATTTGACATCATCTGTTGATTTTATATCTATGAATTTTGAATTTGTTTTGAGTGGGTTCATTTTACAATAAACAGTAAATTAATCTTAATTTTTTTCAGATAATATTGTTAAAGATTTCAAGTAATTGTTATATTTGAGTGAATTTATTTATAATTGTGTTTTTTGGTGTGATAAAATAAATCCTATAAAAAATGTGGGTGGAAAGAAATGAATATATTATTCTTCAGGAAATTAAAGGCACACTAATGAAGGAGGTTGGATTTGCAGTAATATAGAAATGAAAATGTCAATTCATTTTTCATTTGCTTATCACCAAATAAGAATTCCACTACGGAACATTAATCCTTATTGTCATCATATACATGTGTACTGTAGTCTGTAGTATAACTCTCTCTCTCTCTCTCTCTCTCTCTCTCTCTCTCTCTCTCTCTCTCTCTCTCTCTCTCTCTCTCTCTCTCTCTATATCATGGTCAGAACTCAGAATAACTTACATCAGCTGCAACTATTCATCTCACATATTTAATTTCTATTTCTAGCTTTCAAGATTTCATACATATAAATAGACCAGAATACCCTTCCCTTAAAATAATTCAAATTTCATGAAAATGGTATTTTTTTAATATATTTTTTAAATTCATGTTGATGCATAATGAAACTTGATTGTACTATTAGGGACAAGATCAAGATGTACCACTGTCTATATATGCTGCACAGTCTGTACTATCATTTCTGTTATATAGTATATATATAAATCATACATGTATAATTGTGTGTCAATTTTGGTTATATATTCTTGATAAAAAATGAATATTGAAATTTTAATATGAAAATGTGTTAGCAGACAAGTATTATAATTAATGTATATATTTATGTTGAGTATAATTGAGATAATATGTGTTAAATACATGTGCAGCATTAGATCAACTATAGATAGGTACAAGAAATCATCTGCCGATAGTTCGACCGGTTTCACCACTCAAGAGATCAACGCTCAAGTAAGTCGATTTTTCGTTTCGTAACATAATACATGCACAATGCACACACATATGTAACACTTGATATAATATTCATTCTTTTTTTTTTTGCCTTTTTGGGATTCGTTGCAGTTTTACCAAGCAGAGTCGAAGAAGCTGCGTCAGCAAATACAGATGCTCCAGAACTCCAATAGGTAAAAAAATCGATCATTTTTCTCGTTCTTTTTTTTATTCACAATTTTCAAAAAAATTAATTCTTGATAATGAAGTTTGATTCACAGGCATCTCATGGGTGAAGGCTTAGGCTCCTTAAATGTAAAGGAGATGAAACAGCTCGAAAGTAGGCTCGAGAGGGGAATCGCTAGAATCAGGGTCAAGAAGGTAATTTAACCATCCCCTAAACAATTATATCATGATTTATATGTACTTGATTATTTTTATTTATTTATTTATTTTATATTTTTTTTAAACAGCATGAGATGATACTAGCTGAAACTGAGAATTTGCAGAAGAGAGAAATTCAACTAGAGCAAGAAAATGCCCTCCTCAGAGCAAAGGTAAATGGCAGACAAAATCATAAAAAAAAATGTACAATAGTGCAAATGAGATAATTGACTCTAATTGAAGAACAGTATTTATTTAATTTAATTATAAAAAAAAAGTAGTGATTTTGTTGAATGTATATTCAGATACAAGAAAACGAGAAGCTGCAGCAACTTAGCATGATGCCAGCTGGACAAGACTATCAATTCCAGGCTTATTACGCTCGCAACGTTTTCCAGCTTAACATGATGGAGGGTGTTTCTGCTTATCCGATTTGCGACAAGAAGACGAATACTCATATCGGGTATTTCATCTCTCTCTTTCTATCTATATAGTAACTTTGTTCGTACTCTAATTGCGTGAAATCGAGTTTTGCTATAACCTATGTTTCTACTCTTGTTCTTGATGCAGGTAAGGTAGGCAGTTCATCAGAAGATTCCAGAATAACTTATGAATATTGAAGTCTTTGTTTCCTTCTAGTTATCTAATAGGGGAATTTGTGGTTCTTTAGAGACATTAATCGACTGTTTTTATTAACGTTTTCGTTGTTTGGTGCTTTATTCTCTCGACAATTTCGTTAATGCTTCGACTCAAAGTACGATTTTGTATTTCGCAAGACTAAGAAATTTAGGTACTTTTTCTGCAACACCTAATAAGGGTATATTCCTAGAATCTTCGACTTCGTAAAAAAGGGCAATTGTCAAAATCAAAGTTCAACCGAAACAAAAATTGTAAAATTAAATGACACGCGTATTTATATTTCCTATCACATAATAGCACATTCAACTTCACCTCTTTCTCGATGAAGCTCCTCGTCCAGCTGATATATTGTAAGTTGTAACACACAGAAAAGTATATATTAGTATCTTTTGATTTGATGTTTCTTTCATGTCAAACAATAAAAAAAAAACAACGAAGAATAAGCACGAATGCCAAGAATGTACCGTCTCGGTTATTGTCCGAACTGCTCCTTCCTGCATTTACAAGAACAAACTATTAGCGTAATTCATACGTATATATTATTATTATTATTATTTATTCTAGTTACCTTGTGTAATAGGTTATCTTTTGTAATAGGTTAGGGTTTCCTAGATGTACCTATATATATGATTAATATACGTAAGAGATATCATTCTCTCTTTTTTTCCAAATTCTCCTATATGGTATCAGACACTAGGTTAACCTAGCCGTTACCATCTCTTCTTCTCTTCTTCTTCATAGCCGTCGCCGCCGCCCCCCTTCTTCTCCATGGCCGGCGACGCTTCTTCTCCCTCCACCGCCCCTCTCAATTCATTTCACCTTGCTCATGCCATCTCTAATATCAAATCTCTCATCCCCGTTACTCTAGATCTAAAAAATCATAATTATCAAAAGTGGAGCCACTTTTTCACGATTACCGTCGGTCGTTTCTGCCTCTCCGATCTTTTACATGGAAAACCCCGACCGAATTCGATTTCCGCCGACGAATGGCAGCGCGCCGACTTTCTCCTCCAATCTTGGATCTACGGCACCATCTCCGACGATCTGTCCAGCATGGTTCTCTCAAAAACCTCCACCGCCAGTGATCTATGGACCGCCATCTCTTCTCTCTTCACCGATAACAAAGATTATCGAGTGAAAACTTGCCGAAAAGCAAAGCTCGGACCCCAAAAGTTTGAAAAGTTCCGTCCGTAACCGCCCCGTGAAGCGTGGGTCTCGATCGCTTATGATGCTCATCGGTAGTCCCCAATACTTGACGACGCTCTTGAAAAAGAACCAGACTGCCTCCTCCGCGGTGCAATCCATCGGGCAAGCTATGAACGTCCCGTACTTTGAAAATCGATCTATCACCACCATGATAGACCCGGACCCTTCGAACGTCGGCAAGGCACTTATAAAGTCCATAGAGATTGACTCCCATGGTCACTCAGGGACTGGGAGCGGCTCAAGTAACCCTGCCGGCTGCTTATTCTCCACCTTGTCTTGCTGGCACACAAGACAAGTCTTCACGTACGCATCGACACTGTCCCGCATGTGAGACCAAAAGTAGGTCGTCTCGAGCAACGCCATTGTCCGCCTTTGGCCCGGATGCCCCACCCACTTGGTGTCATGGCATTCATTTATGAGGTCCTTCCTCAAGCTGCCCCACTTCGGAACGAAGAGTCGTTGTCCTTTCGTGTAGAGTAGGCCGTCTTCTACCCAAAATTGCCTCGTCTTGCCCTCTTTGGCGAGTCGGATTAGCTCCTTGGCCATTGGATCATGTTCGAGCCCTTCTCGAATCATGTCGGCCAAGTTCCCCCCTGGTTAAGCTAATAGCTGCGAGTTCGGCATTTCTACTCAATGCGTCGGCCACAACGTTTGCCTTCCCCGGTTTGTACTCCAAAACGTAGTCGAACTCCGCCAGGAAGTCTTGCCACCGCGCTTGCTTTGGCGAGAGTTTCTTCTGCGTTTGGAAGTAGCTTGTGGCAACGTTGTCCGTCTTGACCACGAACGGCGCTCCTAATAAATAGTGTCGCCACACTCGAAGGCAATGGATGATGGCGGTCATCTCCTTCTCTTGGACCGTATAGCGTCGTTCCGTCTCATTGAGCTTTCGGCTCTCGAAGGCGATCGGATGTCCCTCTTGCATCAAGACCCCTCCAATTGCAAAGTCAGAAGCGTCCGTGTGAAGTTCGAACGACTTCCCAAAGTCCGGTAAGGCGAGGACCGGCTCTTGGCTCACCGCTGCCTTTAAGTCCTCGAACGCCCGTTGGCAAGAGTCGGACCACTCCCACGTCTTATTCTTCTTGAGCAAGTCGGTTAGTGGTGCCGCTCGTGCCGATCGAGTACCCTTTTATGAACCGTCGATAGTAATTGATTAAACCAAGGAAAGAACGTAACTCGGTTACCTTCGTCGGCGGTTCCCACTCGGTGATAGCCTTGATTTTCGCTCCATCCATTTGGAGTCGTCCGTGCCCGATAATATGCCCCAAGAATTGGACCTCCTCCTTGGCAAACTCGCACTTCTCCTTCTTCACAAAGAGCTCGTTCTCCCAAAGTACTTGGAAGACGGTGCGAAGGTGGTTGGCATGCTCCTCCATGGTATCGCTATAAATGACGATGTCGTCCAAGTAGACCACCACGAACCGATCTAAGTATGGATGGAAGATCTTGTTCATGAGAGTGCAAAATGTTGCCGGGGCGTTGGTTAACCCGAACGGCATGACCAGCCACTCGTAAGAGCCGTATCAAATGATGCATGTTGTCTTTGGCTCGTCCCCTTCGGCAATGCGGACTTGGTATTAGCCCTTTTGTAAGTCCATCTTCGTGTATATCTTGGCTTTACCAAGTCTATCGAACAAATCGGCTATCAAGGGAATGGGGTACTTGTTCTTCACGGTTACCTTGTTTAACGCCCGGTAGTCCACACACATCCTCAAGGAGCCATCGTGCTTCTTTTGGAGTAAGATCGATGCACCGTAAGGTGCCTTCGATGGTCGTATCTTCCCCGTCTCGACCAATTCGTTAAGCTGCATTCGGAGTTCCTCGAGCTCCGGTGGTGACATGCGATAGGGAGCCATGGCGGGTGGCTTGGCTCCCGGTTCCAACTCGATGGCATGATCCACCACCCTCTTAGGTGGAAGTTTGTTGGGTAAGGTCGGTGGCATCACGTCTTGGTTGGCTTCCAAGACGGTTTGGATGATCGGTGGCACGTCTTCCTCTTTGTTGACGGGCGGACTGTCCTCCCTTAAAGCGGCTAAGAATGTCGGCTCACCCCGTCGAACTCCCTTGGCAACTTGCATGGCCGATAGTTGCCTTGGTTGTATTCTTTCTTCATTTGTGGTGCCGTTGGTGGCCGGCACTATGCAAGGTGTTCTATTTTCTAAGATACAGAAAGAATTGAAACAAGGCATCGGGATAGCCATTACCTTGCGAAAGAAATGCATGCCTAGGACCACCTTGAAGTCATCCATCGGTGCTACCGAAAAATCCACTTGGCCCTTCCAAGTGCTTAAGTGTAGCTTCGCGTCTCGTGCTACATCGTTAAGCGGTTGTGCCTTAGCGTTGACAGCTTTGAGCCAACCGTCCCGTTTGGTCCACCTGAGGCCAACCCCCTTGACCTCATTCTCGGTGATAAAGTTGTGGGTCGCTCATGTGTCAACCATCATTTTAGCTGGGTACCGTTGATGCGACTTGCTTGATGTTGCCGGCATAATATTATACCCTTTATAGAGGCAAAAAAATCGAAATAAAACTACTTATTCCCACATAATTCAAGAACATCCTGTATCGAGATCAGAATAATTTGAATATAACCTTTACAGAGGCAGGCAAAACGTTAATCAAAATCGAAAGAATTACTTATTCTCACATAATTCGAGAATACTTGTATCGATATTAGAATAAATATTACCTACCTTCAAGGGCTGGGGGCATTCACTCCTGAGATGATCGTTCACCGTTATACCACGATCCTCTAATTCATCACCTCATGTGAAGATTATAATCGTGTAGTGATGGATTTTCGACAGCACACGCTTCTTCGCGAGTGAAGCGATTTCGTTTCGACAGTACGAGCACAACGGCATGGATACCTTGCCTTGCCAAAACTACAGATTTGCCTATCTCCTCTGTGATAGTTGCAGGGTCGGAAAAATCAAACATACCTGAAATCATCATCACAATATTTATCAAAAATAATAAAAAAAAATGACGATATTCATATTTTTTTTTCCATTTCAAGCAACCCTGGAACCATTATCATGTTTATTATTTAGAAAATGAAGAAAAGAACAAAAAACATTATGATATTCATTTATTTTTCAGTACCTGGTGTGTCGATTATGTTGATGATTTTTTCGTCTTCAAGCTCACACTACAAGAATATATACTTTTTATAGCATATTATTATAGCGTTTATTTGTTAGATGCTATTGTTTCATCTTTAATTTTTTAATTGCTTAAAAAAAATGCTATAGTACCTTTTAATTTTTCGGACACCTATTCTTAAAATAAAACGCTATAATATTTGTTAAAACTTTAGCGGGGAAAAAATATATTTTCCCGGTATCCTAAATATAATAGGTTTGACTTTTTTGTCTGTCCATATACCGTGCACTTCATCTCTTCTCCAGAATTCCTCTTTTCTCTTTACAGGCAAAAAAAACCTAATTTCAATAAAACCCAAAAATCAAACCATTCTTCTTCAAATCAATCTGCAGAAACTCGATCGGCCCTTTGTTCGGTCATCTCCTCGACATACCACACGCAGAAAAACCTAATTCCACATAGTCACGGAAAGTCGTAATTCAAAGATTTGCTGGAATTCTTGAGGAGATACGCCGTTGAAGAAAAGCACGAGGGCTGCGCGCGATTGTATCTCAACAACAAAGGAAAATTACCGAGGTATGTATGTTTTATGGGATTAACATGAAATTTATAAACGGGGTATGTAGTTCAATTTTTGGGATTAACATGAAATTTTTGGGATTAACATGAAATTTATCTATGTTTTATGTTTTGTTCTTCATAAACGGGGTATGTAGTTCAATTGATTATGTTGAAATATTCCTACTTAAATTATTCAAAATCAGGATACAGTTGCTTCAATTTCGTTGGAATTTTTTTTTTTTTTTTTTTTTTTTTTTTTATATATATATATATAAGTTTGTGATTCTTGAATTATGTTGTTTTCTTAGTCTGTGATACAAACTAAGAATTGTTTTTGGAAAATAGCATTGATGTTGTTTTCTTAGTCTGTGATACAGACCCTTCTCTTTTCTAAACTTGTGATTCTTGGAAAATACCAAAACTTGGAATATAACATTGATTTTTTTTTTCCAAGTATGTGATACAGACCCTTCTCTTTTCTAAACTTAGAAAATAAGATTGTGATGATCATTCAAGTGGCATTATGTTGTAGCAATTCAGGAAAATTGACACTGGTAACTGAAAAATATAAAAATAGTGCTAAAGAAATGTAGAACTGATTTCTACTCCTCCCGGTCTGTCTCCTCATTTT